TGTGTAGTTGAATTTTAAGGAAACTTTATCTCCGGAACTTTCAATTTCCAAAAGTGATTACCACTAAAGTCATAGACCGTGTAGATAAGAGACCTTGTTTCTATTTTAATGCCCCTCGAAAAAGAAATAGAAAAAAGAACGAAAGAATTAAAAGATGATTCATCAGAGACAGCACAGTCTGTGCTGCAGAAACAAGTTAACATTAGGTCACTTGTATCTTTTCGATGTCAGTGAGCTCTCAAGCTTCAAGGTTGTTTTTCTCTTAGCGGATCATCCATTTGCGGGGATGAATGGCCATCAGCTTCAACTTTCTCCTCTATAATATTTCGTTGACTGTTTATTTGTATTTTTTCTTCTTCCTTTTCTATATTTATTTTTTCATTACTTAATTTCCTTTTAATTAAACTATGTTCTTCAGATTAAGATGTATATGTGTATACAACCAGAGGTCTGTTTAGAAGAAATGTGGGTACGTTAACGGATCCTTCACTAAATATCTTTTCATAAAAACGAACCCTTCACAAAATATTTTAACTTAAAAACGAACCCTTCACAAAATAATTTATCTTTTAATCGGACCCTTCACAAATTTGTTTATCTTCATTATTGTTTTGTTAATCGAATGAACCGTTCCCAGGAAGGGGAGGGGGAAAGAAATACTAAACGAACTAACTAAGTTTTAGTAACTAACTAACTTAAGTAAACGAACTAAGTTTTGTCTTCGATAGACTCTTCTTCCTTTATTCGTCCGAAATGAATATTCTGCGTTCAACAGTGTAGGCTAAATACCAAATATTTGTATGTTACATTGCTAATTTAGTAGCTGCAATTGCTGTTTATTTTTTAAAATTTAATTTTTTGAACTGAGGGATCATTCACTAATTTACTTTTGCTGAAAAATGTTCAGTATTCAATTGGTAAATATCAAACATTTCTCTGATCTTTATAATTTAGAGGTCTTATACAAATTGAACGGTGACAGAATTATTTTTTGCTTAGAATTAGAAACTTATTCTGGGACAGGTTTGTTTTTTTTATTTAGAATTAGAAACTTATTCGGTGATTTATTTCCTACTGAAAAAATTCAGATAATTTAAAAGTCTATTGCTCTAATCTATGTAATTCTATAAAATGTAATTTATACCTCGTTTAATAAGATCAGGTGCCTTAATTTGTGTTTTTTTAAAAAAAAAATTTTTTTAAATTTTGAAAATTATATTCTTGAAAATGATTAGTGATCTTGCAATTGAAGTTTCGTCCACTTTCCGACTATTTGTAGTACTCAAATCTCAGCTGGATCTTTATGTCTAATCATAATACAAGTTTCAATAATTTCGTGATTCGTTACGTACAAAATTTATCAGTTTATCACTAAAAGGAATTGATGGTCAGACAAAATTTCGAAACTTTTCCTGCTCGCTATAATGCTCAAATTTTAACTAAATCTATAAGCTGGTGACAAATTGATAATGCTAGTTTCACTCGTTCATTGTTAATCGACCGCTGCGAGCAGTATATATCGACTTTGTATCGCCCTTTAGAATTTTAACCACTTTTCTACTAGCTAGTGTGTTTAAATTTTAATTTAAGCTCTAAGCTGAATTGCTGTGCACTTCTCAATCGTTTATGTAATTCCGTTTTATCGTAAGTTACGACCATTTTCCGATTAGTTAGTTTCAAAACTGTACTAGATGACAATTAAGTTTTAAAATCGAAAGAGTAAAAATGTATTCTTTTCTGGGACTTAAGAAAAAAAGTAGTGTAAACTTCTGTTTCAACTCCTACGTTTTAAGATTTTAGGTTTGTCAAAATTAAAACTCATTCCTTCTATTTAGTCTACTTGGAAGAAAAAAAAATTAGTTATTTAAATTATTTTATTATTACAAACTTAATATGGTAATAAATTAATTAGGTAATAAATTAATTTTAGGTAATAAGTTAGTTTTGAAGGTAATAAGTTAATTTTCTTTAATTGGATCCTCTTCTTGCTACCGCAAGAAGAGGATGCAATTAAAGAAAGTTAAAAATCGTAAAGTTAATTAGAAAACTTAAAATACAGTTTTAAAATTTTCGAAAATTTCCTTCTTAATATTAAATATTTAAAAAATCAATTATTATTTTCTTTTTTGTTAGTATATTCACACCGGAGATTTTCTTTTTTGTTAGTATATTCACACCGGAGTTCCGCAAAAAGAAGCAGGATCATTTAGGGTTCCATAGTAAAAAAAAAACGAAACCGCTGCAATCGAACAAAAAGAAAACGAGCATTTTATTTAGGAATTTGCTTTATTGTAAATAGTTATCAGTTATATTTAATAGTTATCAGTTATATTTATTCTTGAGTTTAATTATATTTTATTTTGAATAGCGCGATGAGGAATATTTGTGGAATTTTTTTATAAATGCAAGTCTTTAAGTAATTATTCAATATATTGAAAAAAAAAAATTTTTTTTCTTCGAATTTTGTTACTTTTTCTTCATTAATATTTTACTTAAATAAGTTCCTATAAACAGCTGAAATAGTGTGTAAATTACGGATTGTTGATTGGATATGAATATAATAATTTCTGGTTATGAAAAAGAACGGAACTACGGAACCCTTGTAATCCTTAAGCCTAGTCCCTAGGATTCTGCTAGTAATCGTTACGAAACTTCATGTGTTCCGGTAATCGCTATTTTATTGCATGTTTTTTTTTTAGTTAATTTTTCAACTGAGTAATATTTATTTGAGTAGTATTTTTGTTCGTCTAATAACTATAAGTATTTATCTAAATTACATAAGTTTGATTAATTTATTTTTTTGATCTTAAGAACTTGACTTTAAATCCCGAGTCGAGCAAATTTTTTCCGACTACTTAGTCCTGGTTTTAAGTCGGAGACAAACAAAATACTTTTATACTAAAAATATGTATTACTGTTTCAATACTAAAATTATGTACTATTAAAAATTTTTATTTTTGTTAAAAAAAAAAAAAATTCGTTTGCGATGTGATGCTGTTGCTTTCATAAGCTACCGTGAATTTTCGGTAATTAATTATATTCTGCCCATTTATTTATTTANTTTTTTTGAGTAAATTTATATTATTACTTGTTTACAAACAAAATACTTTTATACTAAAAATATGTATTACTGTTTTAATACTAAAAATATGTACTATTAAAACATTTTATTTTTGTTAAAAAAAAAAAAATTCGTTTGCGATGTGATGCTGCTGCTTTCATAAGCTACCGTGAATTTTCGGTAATTAATTATATTCTACCCATTTATTTATTTATATTTTTTTTATTTAATCATTACACCATCTTTCAGAACGCTTTGAACACTGATCACTTTGTAGCCTTCACCATGTTTCGGTGCTGATTTTATTTCAGAATTTCTTAAAATTGTCGAATAAATAAAAAGAAAGTTACTGAATTTGCTAAAATCTCCTGCTGATTAACGGAGACAAGGTCTTTGGATATGAGCCAAAACTCTGCCGGAGAAAATAAAGTGATGCTTCTGTGTTTATACTAAAACGTCATTCGCGTGGAAAGGGGGGAGGGGCAGGAAAAAAAAAACATCGTTGCTGGAGGCCTTACTAGAGATCTACAGCTTTTTGTTCATAATTTAATTATGCTTGTGGATTCAACGGGTTTTTTGATAAGCTTGTTAGCGTATGGTTTTTGAAATTGGTAGGTATAGTTTCTTTAAAAATCACGCTTAAAACATGCACTGTCGTTTTTGTTTGCATCTAAAGCCGGTATTTAATCGTAGTTGGCGCATGCGTTCTGAAAACGAAACTTCATGTGTTTTTTTAAAAGTTTCTGGATGTTCACGTTATCCAAGTTTAATTTCTGGTTAAGTTTTTTTTATTGTTTTCGGTCATTGACACATTGAAAAGTGAGCTCTTAATTTATGAATTTTTATTTATTGTCGTTTTGTAGTCGGCGGGCATTTTTGCAATATTACTCGTTATGTTTATGACTTATTTCTGAACAGATTGAAAAGTTGGATAGCGATTTCCGCGTCGTGATCTGTGGTAGAATAATCGCCAAATTTTGGCAACTTCGGGCAGCTGCCCGCTCGAAATAAAATTTAAAGGAAGAAAAAAAAACATCTCAATGCGACCAACTAGGTAATAACTTGTAGCCACCCCTAGGGAAACATCTACATTTTTTCTTTTTAATTGCAAGTTTATTATCCATTTGGCGATTGTATTTGGTGCGACAGATCACGATACGGAAATATCCCGGTGAAATTCGAAACTATCAATTCAGATCTTTATGTATAATTTTTAAAATTTATTGCAAGTGTAAAAGTCAGACAGTAGCACTTAAGTGTGCCGTTGCGATTTCCGCTGGCGATATCGAAATGATTTCGGGAATGTCCTCTTGTAGAATTCATAAGTGCAAGTATCCTATTTATAGAGAAAATAATCCTGTATTGTTTAATTACTTCTTAGAATAATGGGTGAAAATAGATAGTGTTCACTATACTTTGAATAATCCTTTTTATACTTTTCTGTTAGTGGGACGCAAGTAGACTAAAATATTTTGTTTATGTTTTGGAGGTGACGTTCATCTTTTAAACAAATAAAAAGAAAAGAATGAAGTTGAATTTAATTGCTCCTGGCTAACAGAAAAGTCCGATCGTTCCGCCCCCCCAGTCAAAACTATTTGTAGAATATTTTAAAGAGTTTTAGAAAATTTTAAAAAATGTGCATTAGAATGTATAGAAACACCAAGAAGCTTTCTACAAAACATCTGTTTTCCCAATTAAGTCAGTTTTAATTAAATACTGCACAGAATAAGTTATTGACTCTCTGATGAGTGAATTATAACATAGTGTCAAACTCTAAATTTGGGGAGTTATTTTTTAATAATTTCTTTACATATTCTTCAACTAAATTATAGGATTGATATATTTATATGAAAGATTTTAATTTTAAAAAAAAATTGAGTGTTTTTTTTTTGTTTGTTTCTTCAAATTTTTAACGAAAAAAAAAAATTTTTTTTTTTAGGAGTTACAGAAAGAAATTGAAGATAAGGGTAAACATGTGAGTGCCTTGTTGAAGCTGTGTGAACGTATCCATGGAAATGTGCGTTTTGGACAAAATCCTCTCATGACATGGGATGCAGAGCGTGTTCGAAAAGTTGCTGAGAATTTGGAGCATAAGTGGCATCTAATTTATCTGAAGTCACTGGAAAGTTTGTGTAGCTTAGAAGGTCTCATTGAAAGTTCAAAAGAGGTAATAAATTCTAGAAATTATTTTTGTGTCTGTACCTGTAACAAAAATATTGCTAAATTTTGATGACGACGGGGTTGTGGGATGCAAGAAATTTAAAAAAAAAAAAAAAAAAAAAAAAAAACATCATATCAGGATCAACTTACGGTATAACTTGTTGTCATCCCTGGATAAACCACTATATATATATGTTTTTAAAAAAAATTCTACTTAAAAAACCTTTTGGTGTTTGAAAAAGGTAAATAGCTTTAATAGGTAGGTACCAATATAAAAATATCTCCAACTTCCAATTTGAAATTTTAATCAATCTGACATAAGAACTGTAAATTATTTTTTGCATAGCACTGAAATTGCTTCCCTTTTTTTATTTATAAAAATGAATATTTTTTCTTTAATTGTGATTGTGGTAGTCTGTGATATATTTGCATATATTTGCTATTTATTATGTTTTTAATTATTATTATGTTTTTAATTATTAAAATTATTATGTTTTTTTGTTATAAATTCTAAATCCTGATATTTTCTGAATCAACACTGACACTGCACTGACTTTTTAAAAGAAGTAAATGTTTTATTAAGTATTTGTTATAGTTTGCAATTTTTTTTGTCATTTAGTTATTTAATTGCAGTTAACAAAAGCATTTTTTAAATATGACTAAACTGACTTTATCTAATATCTTGAATAGTTTTGTGATTAATTGCTATATAGGATTTGCTCATTTAAAGTTAACGTATGCATGTATTCAAAATTTAAAGTTATGTATGTAATTTATTTTTTTAATAAAAATCCTAAAAATCTTTACTTGTTGACAGGTTTAAGTTTAAAATATTAAAAATGATCATTAACTTTCAGGTTCATCTACAATTCTTAATTTATCAGTCATGACACTTAATTAATTATAAGAGCATAATAGTTGTTAAGGGTTGTATCTCTCTCAGTTATTAAAATTTCTAATGTTTAAGGACATATTAATAAATGATGCTCTGACTATGAATTTTCATAGTTTACATGAATTTCAGTTTAAGTTATAGACTTATTAAAATACCAAAAAATCAATTAAAAAAAAATTTCATGTTTTTATTTTGCAAATTTGTACACATTAATAACTGACTTGTTACTCTTAGTAATTTGAAAACAGAGTATTTTTTTCTCCTTATAAGGTTTTGCTTTAGTTATGTAAATGTGGCTCTTCAATAATCTTTTCACCTTTTCTTCTACATATTAATTTCATATCTACTTCTTGTTAGATATTTTCAATATGTTTTTCTTAAATATAATTAATTTAGCTGATATTTTTCTAAGTAAATTAGGCTGAAGTGTTCTGTTTGCTTCTAGGGTCCAGAGAAATTAGAAAAAAGTTTTAGTGAAGAACCCCTAAAGAAGTATCCTAGATTGAGTGATAACTACGAGAAGATCGCCATAATTGAAAATGAGATTAAAAGCAAAATGAGCTGCAAGCGTGATAACATTTTACTAAGCAAGACTGAACAGGAGGGTGAAGCCGTTCTTATTTGTGAATTAACTATGAAAAATGATAAAGCAGTAATGGTGGGTGATACTGGTATTGCTGAGCTTAAAGCTGAGTGTGGAGAAGGAAAATTTGAAATTATCCAGGACATTGGATACTCTAGTGAAACGTCAACTCATCTTTCCACTGATGAAAAGACTGGAGTGTCCCCTCCGACTCACCATAATGTGAGTTTTATCAAAAGTTATAGCCAAATCTCTGCCATTAATAATTCTCCAAAACTGTATCTTGCACCTGATAAATATCCATCTATTAGTGTAAAAACATTAAATATTTTGTCAGACGAGAGAACATTTTATAAATCGAAAGTAAATGAGCCAAAAAGTGTCCCTGATAAATTTTATCAGGTAACCTGCATTGATGATGAAGGACCAGAAGAACCAACCACATCTTGCACTGCTCCAGCATGTGTTTCCAAAGATGTGGTAAATGCAAATACCGAGCCAAATTCTTCTGGCATCATAAAGAAAGTTCTTAATGAATGCATGTTGCCACAAATGCTTAATTCCCAAAGAAATACACCTAAATTTCAAAATTTATCGAATTCTTTAGACTCGTCCTCGGAGAAAGAAATTCTTTTGCAAAAAAAATTGAAACGGGGTTCAAGGGGTTCAAAAACTTTTCATCATCCTGCTGGTGATGTTTATAAAAAAAGTGAGAGAGTCAGTGAGTGGCTCAACAACTGCCAAAGTGCTGATGATGGCACCTCTGATGACAACCAGGATGTGCCAGAAAAACCTGCAAATGGTGCGTGGTCTCTTAAGGAACTCAACAGCTCTTGTGATGCTAGTGGAGAATGCACGCCTAATGAGTCAGACAGTGAAAAATCTGCTGCGTCAGATGTGAATAACAGTGTAACATTATCACAATCATTTACAGGTGAGTTGGAAGCTATTCTGATATTTGTATATGCATGCTATATTGCCATTTTATTTTTAATATATTCTCATATTTAAATATTTTCTAAACTATGTCTAATAAACAGTTATCAGGTGCATGTTTAATTCTTTATTTAATATTAGAACAATGTGGTCACTATAGAATAAAACTGACTGTTACATTAGTTTTTATTTAACATTTTAATATCATGGGCAGTATAAAAATATTTGAAGTTCAATATATCAGTAATACAGTTTGCTCACTGTACCACATCAAATACACAAAAATCACAAAGAAAATGACAAAAATATGCGTCTTTTGGGACACATAGTTCTCTATCAAGAAAAATAAAAATTGCACACCAGTAGATTTATGTTGGCAAAATTAGACCTATTTTTTTTTTTTAAATTTTAATCTTTTTTTTCCATCTTGGAGGATTCTTTTATCTAAGTTTTGGTTTTAAATTTTAAATCATTTGATGTGCAAATTTATTTTATTTTTCAAAATTAAAAATATTCTATTCTCATTTTTAATTTTTTCATTCAAATAATTTACAAATTATTCAGTTTTTAATGTTACTTGTTTCATTCAGCCTCCAGCGAAGTGTTTTAAATGATTTAATCAGCAATATTAATTAGCTCATGTCAAAAAGAATAATATGAAAAAGAATGTAGTGCATTTTATCTTTCAGAAAAATCTCCTCTTTTTGATCTTACAATTGATATTTTTGTTCCTCGTGGCAGAATTGCGGTGACATTGGCGCAAGGGATATTTCCGTATCGTGATCTGTTGCACCAACTACAATCGCCAAGGTGCCAAATAGATTTTAAACTTGCAAATTTAAAAAAAAAAAAAACATGTAGATGTTTGCCCGGGGGTGGCTTNTTTTTTTTTTTTTTTTTTTTTTTTTGTTTTTTTTTTTTTTTTTTTTAGTTTCTCTCGGGGGGCCACTGCCCGGAAGTTTCCAGGACTTGGCGATTATTCTGCCACAGATCATGATATGGAAATCTCCCTTTGTCGCAAAACATTACGGAATTTTTGCAGAAAGATATTTCATTTTGGGAGGGAAAAATTTTTGTTTTCCGTTCTGCATAATTTTTCGTAAATTTTTTTTTTCTCCTGCAAATTTTTTTTTAAAGGTGTCTCTCTTGCGCGTCAGAGAGGAAAGAAATAATCATGATTTTTATATTCTAATTTGAGATTTAAAAAAAAATAGTTAATGACTGGCTTTAGCTAGAATTTCAAATTAATAAATTGGATGTATTTCATTTGTCTTATTTATAATTTTGGGACATAATATGGCTACGAAAGCTTACATACCTACTAGTTAACATCCATTGTGAATAAACTGACTTAAAGCTATAACCAACTTCATTGTTCATAGTAACCATACTCTTCGTGGCAGAATTGCAGCGAAATTGTCGCATAAAATTACAGGGTTCATGCAGAATGATTTTTCTTTTGAAAAGTAAAAATGTTTCTTTTCTACAGAAATTTGCAGCGTAATCTTCGTAAAATGTACATAAAAGCACCTAATCAACATAAAATTTATGTGATAATAGAATCATGCATTTAGATAATCACTTTTGGACGTGCCCAATTTACGACGATAGTATCGTAAATCCATGTAATGTTTCAAATGTATTTTCGACAGTTATTGATATTGATTTTCCCTTGGTTTTTTAAATATCCCGATATATTTCAAGCAATATGGAAAATTCAAATAGTGTATTTGAGTATTTACTTTTTAATGCAATGGTTCTATCGAATTTTTGATTGTTATTGCTATTGATTTCTCCATAGTTTTTAAATCTGATATTTTTTATACGATATTACTTATTACAAACAACCTAATCTCTAAACAAAACCTGCATTTGAGGAGTCTGATTCGCATGATTTCGTCTTCGATCTTTTTTTTCAGCAATTGCTACTGCAGATTTCATGATTTTTAATTATGTTTTTTATTTTGATGATTTTTTACAAAATGTAAAGAAGGAAATAATTTGCGTCCCCCCAAAATAAATACGAATATACCACCCATAATATTAGAATAAAAATTTTAAAAAATTATGTAGTTTTTATTTTGTAAACACAGCACTATTGTTATTTTAAATTCGTAACAAATATGTTTGTTAATATTAAAAGTATCTTGCAGAAAGATATGTCTCACAGATAGCTCAAAAAAATTCTGCCACAGGGACCATACTAAAAATTTTCTACTTCTGTATCTAATCTCTGAAGACCAGAATGAGTTTGTACAGGTTTTCTTAAAAGCTTTTTATTAAAAAATTCAATTAAATCTGCTGAAAATATTAATGTGTGTTAATATCTGAAACACATTCAGCTAACTTACAATGAACTAGATATGTGTATTTAAACAACTATATTTGTGATCTTTTTTTTTTTTGTTTTGGAAAAAAAAACCATTTAACTTTATAAGTCCTTGTAACTGTTACTAAAAGAAAACTCTGATTATTCGAAGATTATTTTTTTACTGAAGCTTTCTTTTTCAATCATCAGTTTTTAATTGACTCTTAAATCAGTGTTATATATTGTGCCACTGTTTTGTTCAGAAAATAAAAAGACCTTTAAAATCATTATTATTTACTATCAAATTATTATTATTTGCATTTGAAAGACTAATGTAGAACCTGATTTGAACCTGAAACTGTGAAACAATGAGTCATTGATCAGAAGTAGCGAAATTACTATAGTTGCTTTTTTATTTTTTTTGGTGGTTTGTAGTGTTGTATGCTATTTTTTTTAAAAAAAAGTAGTGTAGTGAATGGTATGAACAGTAGTTTGTAGCTATTCCTGACAACTACTTGTAACGATAAGTAAATAAACAAAGTTCAAACGCAACTAATTTTTCGAATCTGATTTATACAAATCTTTGTGGATCTGCCAATGGACTCAAAGAGAATACTCCTGTGGCTAAGCATTAATAAGAATTACGTATTACTTATATTTAAACTAGCCATTACACATAATAGCTAATTTAATCAGTTTTGCCCCACCTTTAACTGTGAATGTACACTTATGATATATTGTTGTTAATTCAATGAAAAGAAACTTATCGTTGCTGAATTTTTTGTGTACTTTATTTTTTAGAGGAAATAAAAGAGCACTAAACACTCAACGAAATTGCAGTTATTATTTTGACAGTGAAATACTTAAATTAAATTATTTCACTGTCAAAAAATGCATAAAAAGGTGTAGGTTAAGAAGTTTGTAAAAATGGTGAATACATTAAAAAAAAGTAGTAGTAGTTTATTACATTTGTTATTACAAATAGTTTTAGTTAAATATGAAAATAATGTAGTTTTTTCTAATCATTGCAATGAGCTAAACTTTGAATGTTTTTGTCAAATTTGACAGCCATAAAAATACAATTCTGGTTTCTTGAATTTGTAGATATGTTAAATTTCTGATAACGCTTTAGTTAGTTATACTAATTTTATATTCATTTTCTTCTAACTGTCATTTTAATTGAAAAATGTTTGTATTGAGATTTTTTTTATTGTTTTAATTTCTTTAAATGAACTATTGTGCAACATGCAAAACAAACATTCTACCACCATACATGTTTTCTTGATTTTTACTACTGATTACCTAAGGGGTATGCCAATTTCTTTTAGATTTTTTAAAAGGGGTTTGCACAATAAAAAGATGACAGACACTGATTTAAAGTATATTTTATTGTTCCCTTCCCTTGTAATAAAAAGTAAAAGAAATCCTAAACTTTTGTGTTTACGTTATTTTGATGTGCACTCTGAGAAGCTTTTGATAAACAAGGAAGGTCAAAGAATGGATTGTTCCCAATTATTCCATTGAATATATGTACATTCTGATGAAATTTTTTTTTATTAGACACTGTAAAATTATTATAAAAATATGACTTTAAAACAAACGGAAGAGGAAAAACATAAATTTTTTAGCCTATCTTTAGATTCTATTTCTATTTATAATTACTATATTTTATACTGAAGGTTAGCTGGATAAGTCTGATGCAGTAAGAAAAGTTGAGTAAAAAAAAAATGTGGCCTTCTTGCTCAATTTCAAAACTTAGCTCTTTTTTGTAATTTTTGTTTTCTTACTCAATCCTATCTTTATAAATGATCCTTTAGTGCAAGAAGTAAGTTCGGTACTTTGGGATTATCCCATCGGCCTGTCAACGCTCGCGAAAATACGCAAATTCTTTGGTGCCATCATAATGAAAAGCAATTTCTAAAATAAAGATTCCAAACACACTAAATTTTTCAAATAATAATAACAACAAAAAAAAAGTCAGTGTAAAAATAGTTGATAAAAAGAATCAAAACAAAGTAAAAATCTTGTATTTTTTTTTATAATTACCCATTGAATTATTCTTGAATGTAACCATATATAGTATTAAAAATAATTTCGGTGACCAAAACTCCTTGATAGCTCTAAAAGAATTAAAAAAGTATTACCTATTTAATTAGCATATTAAAAAATTACATTGTTTCTTTTTTTTGTTTTTGTAAACACAGTGTTTTTGTTACCTTAAAGTAGTAACATATATCTTTGTTAATATTGAAAGTGTCTTGCAGAAAGATATTAGTGCTAAGAGAGTTTTGTCGCAGGGAAAATATTTATCTGATTTATTGAAGGGGAAAAAAAAAACAATTAACTGGTACATTATGAAAACTTTTTATGTGTTATCAAGATTAAATAAAATTATCCTATTTAAAAAGTTAATAAATAAATGGTACTATTTAATTCCATAGGATCTATTGAGACTGTGATTCCAGCTGTTGCAGAAGAGACTACACACGTGCAAAAAAGTGCCGCCGATCCCTCTCCTGCAGTGAGGATGCGGAAGAAGAGAAGGGCAAGAGACAGGCCGTGGAGTGTTATAGAAACTGCCCAAGGAATTTTCAATCATGCTTCTGTTCCTCATTCCACTTCTGAGGGTGCTTTAGATTTGCTTTACTCATCACAAGAATCTGGAAAAATGTATGTTTTTGTGCAAATAATTTATATCTCATTTTAGGTTAGATCCACATAATGTAACCGCAATTCTTCATAGAGCCATGTTAAATTTATAATCTCTAAAGCAGATCGAAATTGACAATATATGAGATTTTATTTCTGATATACCAGATAATTTTTTTTCTATAAATAATGAATAATTCAATGCATATTTTTGTTAGTATGCATATTTGTTTTGAAATATTTTTATTTAAAAACTATTTTAAAGAATTGATCTGCCACAGATATATATTTTATCTTTTTCAATGAGTAAGTCTAATGATATTTAAAATGATCTATATGACACTAAATTCTTAAAGCGCAAATAATTTCTTGAAGCATATGCAAAGCCTCATGTTTAAAGGTTTGTGCTATAAAGACCTTCTACTCTAAAAACTTTTTGTTGTTGTAAATTTTCTGAATTAAATTATGGGCTTATTCTTTTTTATCCTCTTTATCTCTTAAATCATTTTCTGAAAATATAGTAATAAGATCAAAAGTAACTTTTAGTTTGTCTATGTAAGAAACTCCCCTAGCCATTTGTTTGGAGTGGTGGCGGTGACTATGGTTACGAGGTTTAACTATTTCAAGTAGGAGTGTTGTGTTATTATTTAAGGCAGGTTTCGACTCGAGTCGGCGAAAGAAAAAGAATCGGGGTTTGAAGAAGATCCCCTCTTTGAAATGTGCTATTTTTTTATTTCTATATAGCAGCAGGTGGTCTTAGACTTTAGGGGAAGGGAGTTCTTTCTATTGACTAATTCTATGGGAATTTGTTTTTATTTATTTGGTGTCAAAAATTTCAAAGAGCTATTTATTTAATCTCAAACCACATAAAAGTCTTTTAAAATTTTAGGAATAATCATAAGCTTTCTGTAGTGCAGTCTGCTCTTTCTTGTTGTAAATGTTTTTATGGGAACTTTCAAACAAAAGGTTTCTTATCACTGGTTCAGGTATTTTTATAAAAATATGAAAAATTATATACAATATGATGTGAGATTGCTTCAGTGTTAACACTATCTAATCATTTACCCAATGTTTATTAACATAAGTTTTGCATTTATTATTATCCAACATCTATGTGTATTCATTTTAAAATTAGTTAATATTGAGTTTGTTGCCACAGAACATAATTGACACAAGTTTTACTGTAAAATAGTAAATAAATTGAATTAAATAATGGTAAATAAATGTTACGTAAATTTAGTTTTCATAAAAGGAGTATAAGGATAAGCAAATTTATTATGTCAACTTTTTGATGTTTATTTCTGCAATATTTTACACATTTCACTAAAAAAAAGTATCTGCATGTATAATTATAAATTTTTGCTTCCAATGCATTTCTAAAATTTCTTTTTTATGTAATTAATAAATTTTTTTTAGGCATTTTAAGTCAAGAAAACTTAGCAAGAGTAAAAGATATTCACTGACTGATGTCACATTATTGTGTTCCTCAAATGTGAAGAGTTCAAGCACTGAACATACTCGAACATTAAGCCTGAGCAATGCAGAGTCTGGTGGAAAGGGTTCAATCAGTGACCCTAGCTCAGATTTCTGTGAAAATTCTTCTTATGGACAGAACACTACTCTACTTGTGTCGGAAAAAGATAGCAGTTTGGAAGTAGAAACTCTTCGGAGTGCTGGCAAGGAAAAGACTGTAAATACTCATTTCTTATACTTCTTTGTTATATTTACTAATATTTTAAACTTCAAAAGTTGTAAATGAATATGTGCTTGTATTAGGAAACAAATATCAACTTCACTTACTATTCCACTTATTAATTCCACTTAATACTTACATTTCCACATATTATGGAGTGTGTAGCATTTTTTAAAAGTGCTAATTTTCGTATTTTAAAAGTCCTTATTTTCGTTTTTTAAAAGTCCTTAAAGGGGCTTTTTTTGTTGGGTGTTTTTAAAAAGTACTTAAATTTCCTGTTTCCAAACTGAGATTTTTCCTTACCATGTTGATTTTCACCACGAATTATGCAAAAAGACACTGTTAACATTATTCTATTCAACGTTTTCACAATTAATTCAACCCCAATCTGTTTCCACATACTGCCAGTGTCCGTAGCATTTGAAAATGCCATTTGTTTTACATGATTCAAAATTTCATAATTGTTGTCGATCGTCAAAAACTAAGCCTATTGTCGATTGTCAAAAACTAACTTTTTTTCAAGATGGTTAAAACTGCATACAGCCATTATTTGTGAAAAACTTGCCAACCCTGCCTAATTAGGGTATTTTTTTTTTAAAGTGCTTAAAAATATTTTTGAGTGTTTGAAAAGTGCTTAAAAGGTGCTTATTTTTTGTTTAGAAATTTGGCTATGCACTCTGGTTATATTTACTAATATTTTAAGCTTCAAAAGTTGTAATTGAATATATGCTTGTATTATAAAATAAATGTCAACTTCACTTATTAATTATTCCACTTATTCCACTTACATTTCTACATATTGATTTGAAAAATACTGTACTACAAAAGGAATCACATATAGGAATCTATAACTCCTTTAAATTCATCTGCCCACTCGTATCAATATATAGATTCATATCAATTTGAGTATTTTTCCAAAGTATTACAAGGAACTACCTTGTAGTACAAGTAACTTATTGAAGGAACTACCGTGTTTCGACACAGCAACATTTTCGCAGAACATTACAGAGTTCTTGCTGAAAGATTTTTCCTTTGGGAAATAAAAAATTTTACTTTTCTTTTCTGCAGAAATTTTCGAAAGATTTTATCTTTTCTTCAGAATCATATTCAAAGTTGCCTTTCTTGTGCATTGGTGTAGAAAAAGTGCTTTTGATTTTTCTACTTTCATTTGAGAATAATTAAGTAATATATTTGGGTTTCTTTTCTGTAGAAATTTTTGTTCTATTTTTATATGCTGTTATTACTATTGATTTCCACATAGCTTATAAAATCCGATATTTTAAATACAATATTATTTATTAAAGCAACTGGAATCCCATGTTGGCAGCTGTATGGTTGTACTGTTTCTATCATCTCTCTTTTAAAGCCAGTTAAAAATCATAATTATAATATTAAAAATTTGTTGAAGAGCAACCAACAAAACAAATTGTTTTCTCCACAAAATTAGTTAAATAATCAATTACCCATTGGATTGGTTTAAATGTTAATTTAATATTGACTCTTGGAATTAAAAACTGAAAATGTTTTGCTGTTGAAATAAAATTAAATTCACACATGCTCGTGTATGTCAAAAATTGTTCTTACTTCTAACATTATTGAATGTGTCTTATGTATAGGATGTGATCATGAATATTTTGCCTGAAATTTCACTATCTTTGGAAACAGACACAGCAGGCTCTGCTGTAAATACTGAAGATCAAGCTTCTATTTCTGATCAAGCTTGGGATGAATATCAAGTAATGATTAATTAATTTATTTATTTAGTGTTTTAGAATTTGATAAAATGCTGGACATGTGAAGACATTGTTGAAAGTTCAACTCAGTTTTTAAATTGAGTGGTTCAGTAATATCTTGTTCAAATTTATTGACTTTAAAAATTATTCTTTAAAAATTAAAGATTTTAATTTCTTATTACTCTGTTACAATAATAAAAAAAAAATAGAAAGGAGAAGAAGCCTAGTTCTTAGAATAACTAACTAACGCAGGGAAATGCTCGATTCAGTGTGCTATATCAGAAAATCAACTTATAGGGTGAGCAACATACTCAAATTTAACAGAGCATTATATATACTAAGATCCAGTACTTGCGCATAGAAAGCAAAGTGACTGTCAGGAGATTCATTACCTGTGATCAGGTTGTTGGGCAACTCTCAATGTATGGTTGGGTACGCTGCCTCTCGCTAACTTTTTTTTTTTTCTATGTCAAAATGTGTTAGTAGATTTAATCAACATGGATGATATAAATGGTTTCTTAAAGCAGTGTTTTCACTACAGCGCGAGAATCTCGCATATTTTTTTCTTTTCTCGCATTAAAAAATTATTACCGCGAGAAATTTGCGCATTCTATAAATCAATTTCAAAATTCGCGAATTTCTCGCATTTTGAAAAAAGCTTCGAATTACGCCATTTAGAATAAAATCCATTCTACTTTTCTTCCTGGATCTTTCATTATTTTCAACATCTGCCCCATTATCTAGCTTCCCTATATACCAGTGTTGTCATATAAAATACGGAACCCCTTTCAGAACACATTTCTCTGCAACCACGTGTTTACCGTAGGTAAGATTTCTTCATGTACGACGTTCAAATTTTTTATGCTCTTATGTAAGATGGCCAAATACCNCAAATTTATTGACTTTAAAAATTATTCTTTAAAAATTAAAGATTTTAATTTCTTATTACTCTGTTACAATAATAAAAAAAAAATAGAAAGGAGAAGAAGCCTAGTTCTTAGAATAACTAACTAACGCAGGGAAATGCTCGATTCAGTGTGCTATATCAGAAAATCAACTTATAGGGTGAGCAACTTACTCAAATTTAACAAAGCACTATATCTACTAAGATCCAGATCTTGCGCATAAAAAGCAAAGTGACTGTCAGGAGATAGATCACCTGTGATCGGGCTGTGGGGCAACTCTCAATGTATGGTTGGATACACTGCCTCTCTCTAACTTTTTTTTTCTATGTCAAAATGTATTAGTAGATTTAATCAACATGGATGATATAAATGGTTTCTTAAAGGAATATCTTTATTAACAGTACAGCATTGCTTATCAATAGTCAGGGTGCAAAGCGTTTTTAAAAAGTTCTTAAAGGTGTTTTTTTTTTAATTTACATTTTTTATAAGCCCTTTATTCGAGGTTTGTAAAGAGTGCTCAATTTTCTGTCTTTTATCAGTATCGGCAAAAAAAAAGCAGATTTTTTTTATTTGCCGTATCGATTATCATTTTAAATTACGAAAAATTCATAATTTTCACAATTTTCTCTGCAATATTTATCCTAAACTGGTTATTTTTATCATGATTATGTAAAGTTTCTGAAAATATTTCAAATTTTATTGATTTTATGTTTATAAATTGAGAACTTTGAATGACAGAAATTTTTTTTTAATTACGGCACAGATCCTAATTATGATTTTTTTTTTGTGTGGAAAGTTATTAAAAATATTTTTTGAGTGCTTAAAAAGTACTATTTTGCTTATTTTTTGTTGAAAAATCTGGCTACTCACCCTGTTAACTGAAATGCACAGAATATGACTGACTAGTGTGAAAATGCTAAAAGAATGGCATTAATGGTGAAAATTTGGTATTCTGATATTACAGTTTCATGCCATAAAAGATTTTAGTGAAAGGGAAACTTCCAGTTTTGTAAGTAAATATTTGTGTGTTCAAATTAAGTATATAAATGAATATCTTTTAATTCAGGATCCACCTTATCTGAGTGAGCCTTATTCTGAACAAACAGCCGATGAGGATGAAGTTAGGAAATTGATTAATTTTGGTGATGATTACTGGACAGTTTTAGGTAGCTATTCTGATGTTTCATCAGTAAGCTTGAAAGTGCCTCCACCCAAACACCACAGATCAAGGACTAGAACATTAATAAAGGTACCTAGTTCTATTATTTTAAATTCTATGATATTTACTAAAATTTTATATTGAAAAAAATAATATGATTTATACTTTCTTTTTAAGTTTGGAGGCAAATAACATTTTAATTTTGGTGAAAAATTAGTTGTATTTTCTGATTTCGCAAGAATAGATTTGCAATGCTTAAAATAATATAGTTTAGTTGTGTTTGTTATGCTTAGTAATTATTTAAATTGATTAATTTAGTGGCAAATGTTTAATTTGGAATATTCACGTACTTTTTTAAGTTAAAAATGTTATGTTACATATGCCACTTGCCAATGTCAGCAAGCCTGCTTGAAATCAAGGGAATTTTTAAGGCAGAAGGCTTGGCGGCCAACTGTTCTGATTAAATCATATTTGTTCAGATTTTTTAGCCTTGTTCCGAAACTACGATTTTAGGTCTAAATGTTCTGGTTTTTTGATATTCTAGTGTCTTTTCACTGCTCATGGCGATTTTCTTCCAACCCAGGGCAGGTCTAAAGACTAGAAGCGTGGCATGTGATTTTTCTGTGAATATCGCAGAATTCCGCATGTCTCGAGACCATTGACTAGCGGAGTTCCATGAGTCAAAAATTTATAATCCAACAAAATTGTGAAACTTTTTCTAAATCACGTTAATGAGATGTTTATATACATGTGATTCTTTCGCCAATTTGATTAGGCTGATTTTTACCATTTTGAATATTAGGAACTGCGTCAGAATCTGCTAATATCACCATTTTTATTCACGCTATTTTAATATCAATCATCAATTTTGGTATTTAGCTGATTTAAAAGTTACTGTTTGTGATTTGTATTCATACGATTTAAAAAATTCAACATCGCGCTTTTTATTCATGCGATTTTAAAATCCAATATAGTGATCCATATTCGCTTGATTTTAAAATCCAATATCACGACTCATATTCACGGGATTTTAAAATCTGATATTGCAATTCATGTTAGTTTTTTCTTATAGAGGTGTGATATTCTATATTAGTATGTAATTTAATTATAACTGTTTGCTCAAAAAATTATATTAAATATGAAACGTGTATGGTTTATTAATTGAAATTTTATTTCATCAATATTTTAATTTTTGGTATTTTGTTTTTCACTTTGTGTCATAATTTCCCCCTGATTACCTTATCATGCTTTGTGTTCCTGTTTTTGTTTTTAACAAATTAGCAGCTCTGAGACGGTGTGCTTTTTGTGTTTCAGTGGTCACTTACTATGGGCAAAAATAAAATTTTGCCATACACATACATCACAGCTCGTTCACACACTTTTCATCCATCTGCAGGTCGTGATTTTGAGCTAAACCTAAAAATGTCCCTGTAACAAATCAGTACCACCTGAGGTATTAGTTTGTTATGGGAACTTGTAGGACTTTGTGACCCCGACAGATTTAACATGCACCAATTACCATTTACAGGGTATTCGTGCACATGAAATGTCATGATTTCAACTATTTTTTTAAAAAGAAAATTGCGGAAAGTCATAAATTTAAGTCTCTGAAAAATCTAATTTTTAAAATGGAATTTAACCCCCCCCCCCCAAATATCTGAATTTGTAATAAAATCACCACTCACGGTCATATTTTATTAAAATATAAAATGTTTTTATCATGTTCTTTAAAAGTTGCGGTGTTCTTTCAAAAAATGAAAGAGAAAACATTTCTAGAGCAAATTATCTTTTAAACTTCTGTGATTTCAGAATTTTTGCTATTATTATTTTATCAATTTAAAATTCTAGCTGAAGCAAGACAGTCATTGAGGAATTTATTTTAATTCTGAAATGAGAACATAAAAATCAGGAGTATTTCTTTCATTCCGGATGAACAAGAAAAGTATCTTTAGAATATAATTCTGCAGAAAAAAATTATTTGCTTTTGTATTTTTTTCAGCTATTTTATTGCTTCAACTCTTTCTTTACTCTTCAACTCTTTCTTTCTTTTTAAATTTAAAATCTTAAAATATATAGATGCAGAGTATAACAGTTTTGACTATACCTATTATTTCAATTTATGTTATTATAATGCTTTTTTAAATTTCTTGTGTTTTTGTCGGAGAAAATAGTAACTTCGTTAAGTCATGAAAAATTCTTGGAATTAGTAATGAAAAGTCATGAATTTGAAAATCTAAAATGTAACAGATACCCTGTATTTAATACACGGGTTTCTTCAGCCAGCTGGAGTCAAACTCCCATTCTTATGAACATGACTCCAATATCCTACCAGCCAGGCTATCCCGGTCCTAAAAATGTTATAATGTGATCGTTTTAATTTCAAATACTAATATTTTTATAAGTTTGTAAAATTATAAATGTAGTGTTAAAAATATTTTTGTTTCTAACTAAAATGCCCTATTAGGTCATTGCAAAAATACATTTCTATTCTTATACCTTTTAGTCTGCTGATAGTTATAAAACCATCTCTTCAGACTCCAACTCAGATACTGAAGACTTACACAATATCATGAAGACAAGTAAACATGCATTGCAAGTTATCAGCAACCACATAAAAGAAAATTCTACCAGGACCTCTTTTCCTGCTGAAATAGTACGTTGTTTTATTCTTTTTTAACTGCTGTTCAGTCAAATACTTTAATTATCATTTTATTTTATTAAAGTCCATTGTCATTAGACCTGCCATTAGACATTCCTAATCAGGGCAATGTCTAATTGTGAAGTCTATTGCATTGTTGAAAAACTAGATTAGAGACGTGGTTGAGCACTTAAAAAGCATGAAATTCTAAAAATTTTAATTTAAGACATTTTTATTAAAGGAATAAAATTTGATTAACTAGAACTTTTTATGTTTGTACCAAAAACAGTCAAAATTAATGGTGGTCTGTTGGCTTGAGACCACTAATATTTGACTTGGGCTATCATTAAATAACTATCTAAGATCTCTCCAATTAGCAACTGCTTTAAAGTAATGTTATGTTTTTTTTTTAATTTATTTATTTTCAGTTTCATATTTTTGTTATAAAATAGCATGTTTCAGCATAATTGCAATCATTACACATTCTCTGTATTGTAATTTTTCATATAAATTCCCTTCATTTACTTTTTTAAAAGAGAAAATAATGAAGTAAATGGATAAGTAAAAATGCGTGCAGACTTGTAAAATCTTTAAAGACTAGTGGCTTAATTTTCTCAGGATGAAAAAAAAAATTGATACATGTTAAATAAATGCTTACAAATGAATACCTAAGCATGTAAAATAAATATAGGTGCAATTCTTCTGTCAATCGAAGGATATAAGCCGATTTGATTCTTTTGGTTTGGTAGATTTCTGCTATTTTGAATATTTTCAAGACTTCCAGAATCTGCCAATTTCATTCTACAAATTTGGCATTTTAGTTTTTTTTCCTTTCAAAATAGTAATATTTTGTGAAATTAATTATTTATGGTAATGCCCTGTATTTCTCTTCTGTCAATAACAGATCTTGCAAGGAAGGATAGTTTTTTCTCTCTATTACTTTAATTTCTTGCAAGCATTAAAACTCTCACATTTCATTCTTCATGGTAGAAGCTTCCTTTTTTTTAAACATAATTTTCCTAAAAATATTTTTATTTACTGATTTTTTAAATTTTTATTTTATTTTTAAGAATGGTTCAAATGTGTGTTGAAAAAGGAAGTGATATTATATTATGATTTTGCAGGAACTTTTAAATTGTGTGTGCTGTTAATTAATTATTATTTTTTTCTTGCTTTGTGTGAAACTTACACTCTTGAACTAATAAAGGAGTATGAAAAATTTTGAGCCATTTTTAAATTTTCTCAGTCATACATTTATGAATAAGATTTTAATTTTTATTAAATGACAGTAATTGAACTTATTATAAATGATGTATTGAAATATATTTATTTGTGAAAAGAACACATTTCATTACGATAAAAAATTTACACTCTTGAGAACATAGACAATATAAAAAAAAATTAAGTGTTTAGCCAGCTAAATGTTATTACTAACTTTTTAGATCAGAATGAAGTAAGATTTTTTTTAACCAATTTTTCTGTTGAAGAATTTTTTGCACATACACCCTTAACTAAATTATAAGCAAAAACAATAATAATCTATTTAAGTCATTCAAAAAAATTGCCCTAAGTTGATACGTTTTTCTGTAATCTAAACCAGGTTTGGAAAAATTTTTATTTGTTGGTTTCTGATGGTATAACAATGAATAAAACCATCGTTTAAATTGTAATAACTGTTAAAAATAAAAGTTAAGATTTACTTTTTTGTATTGTTATTAACATTATTCCTATTTTTATAGCACATTTCAGGTAGTGTTTAAATTGAATTATCACATCTTTTTTTTATTTATTTAATTTGACATACATTGAAAATAAATTTTGAAAAATAAAGTATTTAAATGCATTAAATGCAAGTATTATACAGTAAAAAGATCTTGTAACATTCTATTAATTATTTATGTCACCATTCCCTTTTTTAAAAAGATAGACACTTGCTAAAAAGTAAAGATTTTAAGTTAGCAGATTTCTCTTGTTTGTTTATTATTTAAAATATGTGCTTTCTTAACATTTTTATTTATTTATTTATTTATTTTTTTTACAGTTCTGTTTATAAATTAGCATTTTATAATTTGGATTTCATGCAGTTGTAAAAGTTGAGATAGAAAACGAATAAAGAAAAAATTTCTTAGAAATTATATCAATCGAACCACACAAGTACTATGAAAACTAAAATAAAAATTGCATTATGCTTTAGATTTAATTAAGACCGTTTAAAAAACTTTCTTAGAAATAAGATCTCTAATATAAAAAGAAATTTTTTTTTCTTCTGTTAAAAACTGTAATTACTTCTTATTTATCATTATTTAAAACCTAACTCTTACCTAAACAGTACAAATACTATTATAAGGTCAATACTAGGCTTGTGTATAACTTGTTAAACTGCACAGACTTTTATATGCACCTCAAATAAACTAAAAAGCAAACTTCTGTAAATCAGATTCTAAAGATAAAATATTGTATCTCTCATGTGTGCAGAAAACTTAATGAATGTTTCTTTATTTAGAGTGAACTGAATGCTACTTGCCAAACTAATTTGTGCCATCTGAATACTATTCTTAAAGAACTGTCAACTAAAGAATTTGGAATTGAATCTGTAAGCAGAGAGGATTGGATCAAGTTAAAAGGTGTGAAAACAATAATGGTAGAAAATATACATGTGTTTTTTGTGGATTAACTTACAAATAAATGTAATAGTAGTTTAAATAATTTGAATGTATCCAAAATTTCCTAACTGATATCATGAATTTAAATGGCAAATTTTTATTTCTAATTGTTTATTTGTATTTCAAAACTAAATGTTACTTTTATGCCCGAACGACAAACTTCTTCCAATCCAAGTGGTAGAAATAGAAGGATTTGTTTTTCAAAAAAGAACACTTTTTTAAACAGTTTATAAATCATCCTAGATTAAGTAATAGTATTAATTTCCAATTTATTTAATATATCATTTTCAAATATGTAAGAACTAAAAAGCAAGAACTGGAAAGAAAAATAAATTTAATGAATTTCTTAAGAAATTAAAGTAACTACAATATTTTAATTATTTTATTTAAGTGATAGTTTTATAATATCATTTCAAATTTAATCAATACTTCTAAGTAAACAAATCGCATACTAAACATGTGAATTCGCAAATGGCATTCTTATTTGTTTAATCAAAACGCTAAATATAAATACTCAAACTGACCCTTAAATAATATATAAATTTTAAAATTCTGTATTAAACTAAAATCGTATGATTTTTTTTATAGTTTATCTGAAAAACTTAACTTTCTTGTACTATATTAATTTTAATTAGTTTATATTTAAGCTATTCTTCTAGTATTTATTGCTGAACAATTGTATTGGTTATTTTTAGTTTCTTCCATTTTTATCTAGTTTTTACAGTGTCTTTGACCATGTTTTAATATACTATAATATAACAATTCTTACAAAAATGCAGATATGCAAAGCATAAATTTGTACTTAGACTGTATTTAAAAGCTTAGTTTTTGGTTTGTAATTTAAAACTAAAAAGATATTTAAACAAAATGAGTCAATCAAAACATAAGGCGCGTAGCATTTTTAAAAAGTGCTCAATTTTCCCTTTTCCGAAATGAAATTTTTTTCCTTTACCATGTCGATTTTAGTAGTGAATTAAGCAAAAAGTGTGGTTTTCATATTGTTCCTTTCAACATTTTCACAATTCATTCAGTCACAATCCATTTTGTTATACCAATCATTTTACATGTTTGGTGAAATACTTACAGATCCACAAGTGCTTACACTGATCTGCGCAACTCTTCTGCATTTTGCAGGAGAGTTTCATGCTTCACTTATGTCCTTTGAAATTGAGTCGCAAAATTTCTCGAATTTTTGCTGATCATGGGGACTAACTAAATGTTGTCAAAGTTTTTTCTCCAGTAGCAAAAGTTTTTTTATTTCTATGGTTAATTTCATCGCTAATGAAGCACCAGAATCTTCGTCACTGACAGACCAATGACCTTCTTGTGGTGTTCCATTTATAGATCAGTACCGTAATCTTTGAATTTGGGATCTCATTAATTACGTATTTCCAAGTGCGTTCTGAGCAGTCAACTATCACAAAGCTTCATCACCTCAAAATTTGCATATTCCTTTTATTAATCAAATTTAATATAGATTATAATTAATTGAGATTTTTAATTCTAGGATTTTTAACTCGGGGACTGTCCACTAATTGCATAAAATTTTTAAGTTTTTTATTTTTTTAAAATAATTATTAAATTTTCAGCTCTCTTAAGCTATTTTATGAAAAAACTCAAAACTTAAATTAATTGCCACTATTTTAACATTTTGCAAACGCAGTAAAAAATCTTATGTTAATTTAGATTTTTCATTCCAAAAAACTTGAATTCATCTCTTAATAATTTATTTAAAAATAATTGAAATAAAAAAATTCTATAATCTCAGATTTGTTAAATATTATGGATGTTGGTGCTATATAATAATTTATTTCTGACAAAAATGTTCAGCTTCAATACAGTAGAGTGCCGATTATCCGAACTGCTTCCGACCAAGCGTGGTTCGGATAATGAAAAGTTCGAATAATTGGAAGGTTGTTTAAAATCTAGTTTGAATGATTATTATTTATGAAACAATACATGTATGTATGGCTATATATATGTATGGTATAACAATACATGTATGTATGTATGGTATAATAATACATGTATGTATGGCTACTATAAGAAAACTGCTAAAAGAGGTTGTAAATTAAATATGGTCTTCAGATGTTTCAGATAAGTAATTCTTCTAAATTTAGAAAAATTGTCTATAGATTAAAAAATATTCTAAACTTTAAAAAAAGGGGGGAAAGCGAATTCGAACGTAGTTCGGATGATTGGACGTTCTTATAATAAGGGTTTGGATAATCGGCGCTCTACTGTACTTGTATTTACTTTCTAAAACTATTGAGAAAAATGATTTTTTTAATTGTTTTATTAAAGAAATACTGAACTAAAAAATTTTTATAAATATTTAATATGGGCGACTCATTAATTTACATTAGTAATAAGAAATTATTAAGTTTTCTTAGTTCTGCTTAATTCTTTATGTATCTTTATAAATTCAGTATGATCAATAATATTACTGTTGTTAATGTTTTGTTGGATTTTTTTTTATAAATAACTTTTATAAAAGTATATTATTAAGTCTAAAAAATACACTCAATAGCTTTTTTGAATTATAGTTTAACTAATTATAATTTTGAATTAAAATTATTATTTTTTATGAAATCAAATAAAGTAATTATTAATCTAAAAAGAGGAATGCAGGACTCAATATTTAATATATTTTAAATTCTGCATAAATTGTTTTTATGGTGGTTAATATAATCAAGAAAAGAGTTCTTTGTCAGAAATCATTTATTTTATCCTGATCATATAAAGTTTTTGCATTTTATTAATTTACCTATTGTACCAAAAGCTGACCTAAATGCCTTTGACAGTATAGTAAAAATAGTGAGGGTCTTGTTTATTTTGTAAGTATAAGATTTATTTTTGTATAAGATAAGATTTGTTAAGTATATATTTTGTTAAGTATATTTTGTTAAGTATATTTTGTTAAGTATAAGATTTATTTTGTAAGTATAAGAAAATAAATTTTAAAATGTTTGAAATAAATATAGTATTAAGTTTTCTAACTGAAGGTTCTTTAGTACTGATATTTTATCAAAATTCTTTACATTTAATATTCATAATAAACAAATGTAAATATTTTTTAAATAAATCAATTTATTGGTGAGTTTGCATAACAAATTGTTATTCATTCTGGTAACTAATTTCATCGAAACACTGAATAAAAAGTCACGCTAAAAAATTTAATCACGGTTATTTTGATTTGTTATATGAATACAGTGATCCATAATATGAGAAATGATTTTTTTTTAAAAATATTCAACGTTCTCTAGTTCTACCTATCCTAGTGTATATATATGCTTCATTAAAATTAATTTTTCCATTTGTAGAACTCATAAAAGATTGGGAAGAGCTTCAAGGAAAGATATTGTCGCTATCAAGAGGTGATCAGAAAATTAACTCCTATGATCTTGAAGTAGCAACACTTGATGTCCACAGTTCATTGGCGGAATTAAAGACACAACTGAGCAGTTTATGTGATCATGCAGTTAATTCTTTGGATTCAGCACTTACATTGAAGGCTATTGCTAGCAACATACAATCTTTACAGGTTAGTGTAGAAATTGTTAATTTGTTTCCTCCTCTTATATCTTATTACCTACTTCCTCACTAGTCACTACACATCTTAGGGACTGAAATAGGTTTCAAATTTTGAACATGGTGTGTAGCATTTTTAAAAAGTGCTTAAATGTGCAAATTTTTGTTTTTTAAAAGCCCTTAAAGGTGCTTTTTTCATTGGAGTTTTTTAAAAAGACGCTAATATTCCCTTTTAGAAAATGAGATTTTCGACATGTCTTTTGCAAAGGTGTAGTTTTCACATTGTTCTATTCGACCATAATTTATTTAAACACTATCCATTTTGGCTTACCGTCGGTCCACAGCGTATGCAAGAGCCAATCATTTTACACGTTTGATGAAATATTTGCAAGTCCACATGTACGTCTACAGAGATGGGTTCGGTTAGATTCTAGCTCTGTCGTATGCAACTATGCTGCATTTAACGAGATATTCTCAATTTCAGACATCATTTTCCACCCACTGAAATCAAACCGTAAACTCTTTCTATTTTTTATGGTGGCTAATATAATCCGTAAAATTTTTTTTGTCAGAAACTAGTTATTTTATCATAATCATGTCTTTAAAAATTATTTTGCATTTTGTTATGTATATAATGCTTTAAAAAAATTTTTAGTGCTTATAAAGTACATAAAAGGTGCTTATTTTTTGTTGAAAGATTTGACTCTGCACTCTGTTGAACAATGCTTCAAATATTTCTATTTAACAATTATTTATGATTAAGGAAAGGCTGTGTGTCTTGCTATTATATAAAAAGTTATAAATAAAATATTAATGATAGTTTCAAAATCAGAGAATAGCATGGTTCATTTAGCAAAAGAGTTATAATAAAATATCAATCTTTTTTTTATTTTTTATTTAATCTAATAGCCAAGTTTATCTTAAATAAAAATACTAATCAGTCAGGTAATTTTTGAAGAAAAAGAGAGATTGTTATATAGCTAGTATAACAGAAGAGAAAATGTATTTCTCTAATTTTATAGTAAAGAGAGTTCAAGAGATTTTTTGCGTATCAATTTTCGTTTCGCGTTGTTAATTATTTTGGTTAAACACTGTAACTTGTATTATTTATTCCTTTTAGTGGGATGTACTGTGGATAAGTATTGCTACAGTGTGAAATCTCTGCCATTACCCCCTTTTTTTTATCCTTTTTTTTTGTTGTTTACATAATAATCGATTTTTATTTATTGCAGTTTTTTTTTGTATTCTTATTTACTTCTAAAACTATTTATTTATTCTTCAGAGTGGCCTAACCAATGTGCAGGAGTTAAAAGATTCTGTACTCTCAGTAAATGCTCGTATCCTGAGACTCATTGCAAATGGTGGTGGATCTACTCTTGCACCTCTTAAAGAAATCGCTACCAAACTTTATCAACAGTGGGAAGATGTTTATGAGTTGTAAGTTCATTTTGAAATTATTTTTAGTATTATGCAATTGTGTTCTGGTTTTGAGAATGTATGTTTCTTCTGACGGTTAAATGTTTTTGTAACAGATATTTTCAGGGGTCCTAGCTGTCTTAATATTCCTGATAAGAAATGATTTGTCTTGAATTTTTTGTTTTTGTCCCAATGCTCCTAATATTTTGATGTATATGCATTTAGTTGCATACACATGTTTAGCAAAACAGTAAAAAAAATTTAGTGTGGAGCTATTTCATTTTATAATTATTCGTACAACATCTCTTTTATTTGATTTTCAGGGTTGCCACAGGTGAATAAAATGCACTATTTGAAATTGTTTTCGACCTTAATATACTATGACAACTTTTTTTTTTTTTTGCCTGAAAAGGCTAGAAAAACAACTATTTTCCGGAAATTACGTCTATTGGGAGACTTTTCTGTACTCCTTAGCAATGTTTTTTAGTGTAAATTGAGTTGACAACCTGCGGCCCGTGGTAGCTTCTGTACACAATAAATTTTTTTTTCTTAAAAAAAATAATACAGTGGAAAGTCGCGTATCCGGAATCGGCGGGACTTTCCGAAGTCCGTATATTTGATTTTTCCGTATAATTGACCTCCAAGGTAAACAAAGCTTAAAATGATCTGAATCTAAGAAGCAGAAAATAAATAAACATTATTTTTCGGGCAATAATGTTTTAGTATTAGAATGATATCTAATCAATCATAAACAAAATATTAGAAAAAAAATAATTATTGCTATTCTAAAAATAAATATAGAAAACGAAAAAAATTCCCAGTTATGAAAATATTAATTGCTCTCTCCACCATTTTGAACTAGAACGATTCAAGCAAGAAGGGGAAATTCCCGTCATTCAATAAGGTGGGTAGGTGGAGAAGAAAAATTCATTTCCTCCTTACTTGTCATTCAAGTTGAGGGCGGGGTAGTGACAAATTCTTATTTTCTCTCCCATCATTGGCTATCAATCAAGCATAAAGGCGTGGCATGCTAATTGGGTTCTCTTTATTTTTTCTTGTGTGACTAAAGGGGATTCCCCCTCCACTTTAACATTAAAAAGGTTCCAGGAAATGCCTCTTTTACTAGCCAGCTGCATAGGAAAGAAGGGAGAGGGAGGGGACTCAGTTGTGCTCTTTTGAAAACAACCCCCCTCCTTTCTTGCATTCCAGAGGAGGAGCGTCATGGTCTTAGTAGATCTTCTGTTCTCTTTTCTGTTGATTTATGGGTTCAATGCATAGATCTCTAGAAGCTGAGAAGGGGAAAAACCTGTCAAAAGACTTCATTGTTTGTTTTTTTTAAAGGAGAAGGGAAGATGAAGAAATGTTTGTTTATTTTGATTGTTAAAAAGTGTCCCGGAAATCTGACCCTTCCGGAAAAGGGACGTCCGGATATGGGACGTTACACTGTAATAAAAAATTTTGAATTGCACATTTGAGTCATCACTTTTCAATGCTCTCAAATTGTACAGATTCCATTGTAAGTCTATTTTGTTTCTCAATTGCCCATTTAATGGTTAATGCTACAAAATTCTGCACGATTTTAGAAATTCCAATGTGAATTTCGAATTTGAGTAATCACTTTTCACAATATATATTTGCTAAATCGATTGTTGATAAAAGGGAAAATTTTTATAAAAATGAGGTTTTTTTAATGAAAAAGTATTTTTTGAACGAATTCTAATAATTAAAAGTATTTAATTTTCTGCAAATGTACAAATTTTTGTTGATGTAAAAATGTTGTGCTGGAACACTAACGTTTATATAAAAATTATCATATTTGCTATCAATTTGACTAAATGAATCGCGGTATATGACAATTCTAGTCATATTATTGAAAATTTTTGTTCTTATTTCATTTTTTCTTTGGCAACTCTGTATTCTAGAAATGATTGATAACATGATGATTTATTCATTTTATTTTAATGCAACAGATCTCAAACTATTATGACTTGTTCTGTGTTTCAATAATAAGATTATCAGGGGTCTGTTTAGAACAAATTTGGGTCCGTTAACAGACCCTTCACAAAATATCTTTTCATAAAAACGGACCCTTCACAAAATATCTTTTCATAAAAACGGACCCTTCACAAAATAATTTATCTTTTAATTGGACCCTTCACAAATTTGTTTATCTTCAATACTGTTTTGTTAATCGAATAAACCCTTCCCGGGAGGGGGAAAGACGGTTTAAATTCCAAATGTTAGTATTCTAAGAAAATATTTCCACTTTTTCAAACATCGTGTGCGCATTCTTGTTAATATTAAATAATAATTTTTTTTTGTAAATAAATAATTATCAATTTATATTTATTCATAAAATTAATAGAATATTATGTAAATAAAAAATAATTTCCGACAATTTTTTAAATAAAACATTATAAATTTAAGAATTATTTTAGTTTACTTTATGCGTAACACATTAAAAGTGATACATTATTAAGCTGTGTTATTTAAAATATGTCATTATAAATTATTAAAAATGTGAGTGATTTTGTTTCCATTATTCGTCCGAAATGGATATTCTGTGTTGAGCAGTATAGGCTAAATACCAAATATTTGATATATGTATGTTGCATCTCTAATTTAGTAGCAGCAATTGTTGAGCTGAATCTTGTACCTATTATAACAATTTAAAAACTTCTTAAAAAGGTTTATAGCAATTTTTGCAATAACAGGACCCTATTTGCACAAATTCACAAAAGCAGGACCCTGGTTGAAAGAATGTGACTTAATGCTTATTTTATATTCACAAATTATGAATAGTTATTTCACAATTTTACAAAAACAGGACCTTTCACAAAATGTCTGGACAAACCCCTGATTATACTGGATATTGTTTTAGCTTTCTGTTCTAACAAAAGCCACTCTGAAATTAAAAAATCGTACATTGTTAAATACTTCTGACATAAAATTTGCCTTTCCCTTATATGTAAGTAAATTATACTTCCTTTTTAGTTTATATTCCCTTTCTAAAGTAGTCTGATATGTATAAATATCTTGGTTTTTCTCCTGCTCTCTGTGAAGCCTGTGTTTTAGAAAGTAAAAATTTTGGTTATTTTTTCTGCAGAAATTTTCAAAAGTTTTATCTTTTCTTCAGAATTAAATTCAAAAGATGCCTTTCTCGTGCATCGGAGTTAAATAAAATGCTTGGGATTTTTCTATTTTCGATTGATAATAATGAAAAATAATGAATAATAAAGTAAAAATTTGGTTTTCTTTTCTGCAGAAATTTCATTCTGAAATTTTTTAAGCAGTCACTACTATTGATTTTCACATAGTTTTTAAAATCTGATATTTTTTGTATGATATTATTTATTACAACAACCGAATCTCGAAATGAAAATGATTTAGTAACATCGAATGATTTAATAACCCTTTTCATCATCAGATTAGAGTGATTTCGTCGTCGATCTTTTTTTTCCCATTTGTTACTGCTACGGATTTCACGATGTATTTTTTTTAATGTGATGATGATTTACAAAATACGAAAAAGGAAATCATCAGTGTGTTTTACCCCTACAAAATGCAAGAATATTCCCCATAATATTAGAATAAAGAAAAATATTACATTTAAGTTGTTGTTTTTGTTACTTTTTGTTGACGTTTTTGTAACGTGTATTTGATATTTGTTATTTTTAAAGTATATTGCAGAAAGATATTAGTATTAGAAAGATATGTTGCAGAGAGCTCGAAAAAGTTCTGCCCCTATGATAAGGATCATCCAGTTAATTTCAAACATTTAAAAGTTGTGTTCTCTTTCACAATGTTTCATAAAATGCATCCCATTTCACTAATTACTCTATGCAATATTTTATGTTTTAAAATAGTATAATTAAAAAAAGAAATAAATTTCAAATCATTCTAGGAATAAAAGTTTTAATGTGGCAAAAATCGAAATTATAAACAAAATCTAAACAGGAAAAATATAAATAAATTGTGTCTACTTTTAGTTTTGAGTCAGGAATCTTTTGAACAAAAAAGGCACAGTAACCATCCATCAGAGAATCTTTGCAATCTTTCTACTCTATCATATACAGTAAAAAATAAAAAAAAATTAAATAAATATTAGATTCCGTATGGGAAGGGTTAACCATTTAGGAATTATTCTAGCTCCTCAAACTTCTTCTTTCATGCAGCATCCAGCCCAGTAAAATTAGACTGTTAGATCAAACTAATTTTTAGAAAACTGAAAATGATTTTATTTTCAGTTATTGCCTTATGACATCTAAGTGATGCATCTTACACAATATTTTGCATACATCCAAATTAAAGAGCATTGAATTCTGCATCAAATGGTATACTTAAACATTGAATTTGGTCAAATTGTTTAGTCAGAATCAGTAATCAAAAATAGCTAATCTTTCTGTTCTGCTGAAAAGAATGTTGCTTTCACTTTCCAATGTCTTTCCAAATAAAATTTTAAAAACAAATGTCTGTTAAAAAAATGATATTCAAGGGTTGTTTTTTAAGTAAGGGCCGTTTTGTGGTGTACACTGATGGGTGACGCTTGCGTCCCAACTAGTGTTTGTGTCTTGTCTTGGCCTTCCTTGGTAACAACTGTGCTCAGTTGCAGCTATGTAGGTAAACTGTACGATCAGTTCTGTGTCTATAAAATGCTCAAATTTAACAAATCACTTGCCGTGTAAGTTACAGTCAGTGATGTGTTTTTAGTTGGTAAAAAACCTGCCTGCTGCATACATTCACTGGCAGATCTGTGAAGTAGCGAAATTCCCTGCCTTACTGATTGGGAATTTTGCTACTCTATGACAATGACCCAATGAGACCAGATTCCAACTTTATTGGACTTTTGTGGTTGGGAAGTTTTGAACCACCCCTCCTGAGTGATTTTCATCTTATCCGATATTTCGAACATCATTTTGATGCAATCACTACATCGATGACGAATACGTGAAAACAACTGCGGCCTCTTGGTTAATGAAGCAGGCGGCTAGTTTGTCTGAAGAGAGTATTCTAAATCTAGT